TATATATATATATATATATATAAAACGTCTTTTTAATGCTCTTCACAGCTTACAGTTCTGTACGTTGGGGAACTTCTACTCTAAATCTTCTGCAGTAGCTTTTTTAGGTTTTTCTCTGCTACTGCCTCTAGTGGTGTTGGGTGGAAATGCAACAAAAAAACAAAGATCACTAAATCAGGATACCACGTTTTGTATTATGAAATTGCCTGACTTTACTGTACATGACTTGTTGTCATGAAAAAAAACTTTCTGTTTAAATATGTGACATTTAAAAATGCATAATTTCTTATTAGTTTTCTTGCATCTTTCCGCTTTTTAATCATCTTTGTAAAGTTTGCTGTTGCATCCATCGAAAATATTCTGAGCAAGCTCTTACATAAACGTAACATCCTAAATGTGTCTCATTGTGATGATAATTGAGATTTTCAATGTCCCGATAAGAAAAGATTTCTTTTTGTCACCTTCAGAGTTGATGGGGATTCAGCAGAACATGTCGTTTGTTAATGAGGTGTACGCCAGCCTTGGAGAAACGCTGAAGAGTCAAAAAGAGCAGCTAAGTGGTTTGCTGCAGGAGGTGAAAGAGACCCAGAAAGAGACGGAGGACATGATGACATGGCTGAAGGACATGAAAAAGACAGCAGAGTCCTGGAACAGTGCAGCCGCGGGTAAAGACTCTGTGAAAACGCAGCTTGAGCAGCAGAAGGTAAAGACATATTTTTATTCACCAGAATACATGATTGCAATAAACAAAATATCTAAAATGCAAATATTTACTAACGTTGTTTCTTTGATATGACTGGATTCAGCATTTATAATTTGCTTGGTTCCCTCAGGTGTTTGAAGATGGGATGAAGAGGAAGCAGGAGCAGATTCAGAAGCTAAGAGAGAAGCTTCTGGGCTTGATCTCAGCCCATCCTAACGCCCCTGAAGCAACAACGTGGAAGAACATGCTTTCAGAAATAGGTATGCACAAATTTGATGTCTTGAATGGAAACTTTCAAGCAAAAAATGTAAGTTGAAAAATTGTAACACTCAGTAAGTGAGCTAAATAATGAAAGAAATGTCTCAGTGACATTCTTTAACATTTGATTTTACACTTGGCTCCCCATGTAAAAACCCACAGATGATGGACTTTTCAGATTAAGACATTGATAATATTCTAAATTTAGTCAATCTGGACGTATCTGGTTTGAAAATTTAATGTGCACAAACGTGAACAGATTGTCACCATGTCTCTGCACCTTTTATCTGCCACATCAATTAACTGAATTAACACATTCTTTGTGCCAAGTTCTGCACAGTGGGAGGAGAACAGTGGGTCAGAGGACAGAATGGCGTGTTTGTGCTGACTAATACAGATTGGTGTGGTTATTTCGGCTTTTTGTTTAGATGCTTCATGGGCAGAAATCAGTGGCTCCGTAGAGGAAAGGAAGCAGCACCTGGAGCAATCCAACAAAAATCTAGATGTCTTCCAGTCATCAGAGCTGCAGCTTGGCCAGTGGCTCTCAGAGAAGGAGCTGATGATGAGTGTCCTTGGACCCCTCTCTATAGACCCAAACATGTTAAAAATGCAAAAGCAACAAGTTCAGGTTAGCAAAAGTGCAAGTTGTTGAAAATGGACTTTTGAGCATCCTGACTGATCATTTTGACTTATTTTCTTTTTTTACCCTACTCCAGATCCTCCAGAATGAGTTCAAGAGCCGTAAACCTCAATATGAACAACTCGAGGAAGCAGCTGCTGCCATCCTGAACTCGACAAGCAACCTGGAGCCTTCAAATGGAAAGCTGGTGGAGGAGAAACTCACTGCTGTCACCCACAAATGGCACGGCCTCACAGGACAGCTGGACCAGCGAGACAGCCTGATCGACCAGGCGGTGGTGAAGACTGGGCAGTTTCAGGAGTTACTGAGGAGCCTCAGTAACACCGCCACACAGCTGGAGAACCAGCTCACCAACCATCACACCAACAGTAGCCAGCCTGATGCCGTGAAGAAGCAGCTGGAGGATGTCCAGAACATTTCAGCTCAACTGAGGGAGGAGAGGAAGAAGCTGAAGCAGGCTGAGGCCATCAATGCAGAGCTCTCAGCGTTAGTGACTGAGGACTACCTGAAAGCAGATCTGGCGAGGCAGCTGGAAAGTGTCAGCAAACCTTTTAAACAGCTGGAAGACAAAGCAGGTTGGTCTTTTATTTATAATATAGTCACTTCAACTTCTAGAGGTGTTTGCGCAATTGCTTTCTAATGCCTTCATTTCTCTGTTGTAGCAAAACGAATCGAGCAATTGAATTCAACCTTTGCCAGCTCTCAACAGTTCCACCAAACCTCCAAAGACTTCCAGTCATGGCTGGGCGAGAAGCTCCAGGAGCAATCAAAACCTCCGTCCGTCTCGGCCAAAGTGGACGTCTTGCAGCAAACCCTCGAGGAGCACAGCCAACTCCAGAGAGCTCTCAAAGATCACGAGGAGGCCTATGGCACAATCACCGCTGAAGGAGAAATGCTGCTGCAGAGTGTCAACGGCGCCGAAAAGTTGGCCCTGCAGGGACAGCTCACTGCCCTCGCATCCAACTGGGAAGAGGTGAAGAAGGGCTCTGCTGAGCAAGCTGGCAAACTCCAAGCCGCTCTCCTGAGATCTCAGAAATACCACGAGCACGTCGAGAAGCTGAGCTCATGGATTCGGGATTGCGAAGCCAACGAGGGTTGTGTCAAGCTCACCGTCAATCCCGTGGCGATGGAGGGCTCCATCTCTCAGGTGAGGGCACTTCAGAAGGATGTCGACAAGCACAGAGGAGCGGTGGAGCAGCTCAACACGGCTGCTGAACGCCTACTTGAGGTGGCCAACGCGGACACTGACGCTGTGACAGAGGAGAAGAATAACATTGGTAAAAGGTTGGATAAGCTGGTGGAAGGACTGCAAGTCAAAAGGGAGTGCCTGGAGAAGATCTCACACACGGTTAAAGAATTTAACGATGCCCAGAAAGAAGCAAAGAGTCAGCTCGAGGCAGCCAAGAAGCAGGTGGATTCCTTCGAATCCCAGGGGCTGCAGGCACACAGCAACAAGAACTTAACAAACATGAAAGCCCAACAGAAGAGCTTAGAGGGAGTTCAGAACCAAGTGGAGCACATGAAAACCTTGGCAAAGGATCTCGTGGTGGATGTTCCAGATGTGGACGGAGTGACGGAGCTCTTACTGCAGGCAGATAACGTAGAAAAAGATTACAGCAGCCTTAACAAGAAACTAGACGAAGCGTGCCAAATGTTGGAGAGCAAACTGCAGGGTATCGGACAGTTCCAAAACAACATCCGTGAGATGTTTACCCACTTCACAGAGCTGGACGACGAACTCGACAGCATGTCTCTGGTGGATTTGGACTTGGCCACCCTCAAAGAACAACAGGACAGCATTCAGAGTTTTGTGGCTAAGCTGCGGGATCTGATGGGGAACACCGCCACCGCTGGAGACAGCTGCAGGAAGATGCTGAAAGAGTCCGAATCGTCACCGGACCTGCTGGGCCTGAAAAGAGATCTGGACGCACTGAGTAAGCAGTGTGGCAAACTGTTGGACCGATCCAAGCAGAGGGAGGGCCAGGTGCAGAGCACGCTCAGCAAACTAGAGGAGCTTTATGGTAAACTCCATCAAGCCGAAGAAAAACTTGTCAAAGCTGTGGACAAGGACGCATCCCAGGAGGTTGTTGGCATGGAAACAGATGTGATAAACCAACAACTGGAGGCCTTTAAGGTATGTTGACCACAATTTTACACTTTTATTTTGTTAGATATGTCTGGAGGAAAAACACAACAGCATGTTTAGCTTGGTATATTATTTTTTACCAACTTTATGTTTTGTTCTAGAGCAGGGGTCTCCAACCTTTTTTTTCCTTAAGAGCTACTTTCATGAAAGGAAATTGTCCTAGAGATACTTTTTTGCAACATTTACTTATAAACATAAACAATTGGAATAAGCTTGTTTTGCTTGAACATGCACAAAAACATTGTCTTCAACTCACATGAAACCATCTCAAAGAACACTGAATTTACATGAATGCGGTTCCCAACCCTGGTCCTCAAGTACCCCTATTCAGCATGTTTTACTTGTTTCTCTGCTATTCAGCTATTCAGCAGGTCTTCAGAAGGTTGTTAATCACTCATTCATTCAAACCAGGTGTGTCAAATCAGGGAAACATCTAAACATGCAGGAAAGGAGTCCTTGAGGACCAGGGAATCACTGCTTTAATACATGTTATCTGATTTATGGCAAAAAATCAACAGCTTCCAGAGGCAATACTAAAAAACATAAAACTGAGTCAATATTATATTTTGAAAATGTCTCATCAAACTCAAAGAAGCTCTTGAGACGTTGGTCAACATTTAAAGTAGTGATTTTTAGATGTTTCCCTGCTTTGACACACCTGGTTTGAATGAATGAGTGATTAACAATCTTCTGAAGACCTGCTGAAGAGCAGGGAAACAAGTAAAACATGCTGGATAGGGGTACTAGAGGACCAGGGTTGGGAGCCACTGGAAAAGATTTGTGCACAAATTCCGGGTGACGGGTCTCGGAATTTCTCCCAGTCGTAGAAACCCCATGCAGTGACGAATGCTGCAGCGGGAGGGATCTCCCAGGAGCTCTGCACAGCGTGTCTCAAGGAGCTATGAAAAGTGTGTGCGAAAATGAACGCCTAACAACCATGTAACCGTGCATCATCTGGTTGGCTGCCGTTCAACCATGCTGAGCCCTAGATTGTTTTATTGACCACCAAGGGGGAGGGACATCTATGGATTGATTGGATATAAATGAAAGTTTGTTTGGCCAGTGACAAATTTTGCTACTCCTAATTTTTCATTAGCACTGAAGAGCTACTTTGAATGAGCTCATGAGCTACTGGTTGGAGACCCCTGTTCTAGAGGATCTTCATTAGTGGTCATAGTATATTTTTATATAATGAATAAGCAGCAATAATTTAACAAGATCAACAATGTAATAAATCCTATTTATTCATCAAAATTCTTCAATTTAATAAGATCCAGGTAATCTGTTCTATAAAGTGCAACTTTCAATACATTGGCCTGTTTTTGTGAGTTGATCTTATTTAAAATTTTACTGCATTTTGTTGTCTCCTCCAAATTCACATTTGATAAAATCATGTTTTCTGTCATTTCTTTTTCAGTTGTCGATGTGGCTCTGTATATGGCTTAAATATTTTTTAAAGATTTATCAGTACAATAAATAGACATCTTCATTTTTTTCAGATATTAATAAATACTATTAGTGATGCATACTATAAAAACAACTAAACTGATTACATAGTCCACTTTTTATATAAAATTACTCAATAAATGAGTCAGATGCACACAACTAATTTTGTTACAAAGATCAGGTTAGTTTTCAAACAATTCCACTTTTACTTTAAAATTTCAGTTTTTTATTTAAACCAGGCTCTCCGAGTCTGTTTTCATTTCTAAAATGTTTTGTAAAATTTCTGCAACACAAGTACAGGTTAATATTAGCGTCTCTTCTGAGCGTGCTTAATGTCAATCCTCCGGGGGACTGCAAGCTTTATTTGGAACATGTGGTGTTAACAAAAGATCCGGGATCTTTATGCAGTGAGGGGGGGCAAGTAGGACAGACCACCACGGCCAGGTGGTTGTCAGCGGGGCGCCGCATGATTTAGTCATAAAGCTGATCTTCCATCCTGATCACCTAGTTGTTCATTAACCCATTATTTTGTTGTTATTTAAATGTTTCTGACTTGGATTCGCTAGTTACATGTTTGTAATAAATTTTAGAGAAGTAGATTTTTATAGTTGCTGCTCAGCAGTCCATTCTGATGAACACTGTACCGCAAAAGGCTAAAGGTTATTCTTCTAATCTGCTGTTAAAAGATTTGAAAACGTTTGCTTTCTGTTACCACTTATCATTGTTATTGCACTTATAGTTCATTTTCTATTAATATTGCTTCAGTTTTTTATTATGGGAATCTATTCAAATCAGTTAGAAATTGATAATCAACAATTTGTTATTAGCAAGATGTTCAGACAAATCCAAATATTTTAAAAGCTCATAAATTCCTGTGGACTCTACAAGAGGATTAACCTATATTAGGAGGTGAAATTATAAAAGCCATTTTTTTTATAGCATTACAATGCATTACCGTAAAACAATGTAAACAGCCATGTCTAAGCAAATGACTGTCCTATGATATAGGTCAAGGGATTTTTAATTTTCTCTAAAGAGTTCTCTCCTCATGCAGGAGGACTTCATCCTGGCCTCCGAGTGACATGCATGGATTATTATCATTGTGGGGGTGGAGGTGTCAGCTTGTGGAGATTGGTTCATGGGGTTGCTATTAAAGAGCTGATTGATTCAAAATGTTGCTAAGCAGCCGTGTTGTCATGGTGTGCACACCCATTTATTGTCCTGCTACCACTCTCTGGGCTGAGAGGGCCTACACGGCCTCAGCTGTTTGTGGAAGGTTCTCTTTGTCACAATAGTTAGAACCAAGAACAATGAATTAACATTAAAGCTTGATTTTTTTTTATTTAGTTGCAGCATAAATACACTACACGACTTGGTCATGTTGAGATTTATTTTTGCTCTGCAAAAAAGTTTCAAGTCATGTGGTGGAAAAGAAATAAACAGTGAAAGGCAGTGCTTGGATTTGTCTCCCTCCTCTGCTCTGTTACCATTTTAGGTCAAGTTCTGAAACGAGGCTTCACGTGTTTGTCAAGTTTCTGTCATAAGTTTTTTAAGAGCTTGGATGTCCTGGTAAATCTACTTTATGTGTAAATGGGAATTGTTAGAGTTCGTTTTTAGTGACTCAACACTGCTGGCGATTGTTGCGCGAGTCTTTTCCTTCGTTCAGACGTTACATCAGGGTGCCTTGGAAATCTGAAAGAATTTCTATCCTCTGAATCATTCTCCAACTCACTAATGGTGATGTTAAAACATATGTCACTAGACCTTTTATTGCTGCATGAAAATACATTACATTAAGTGAAACATGAAACTTTATGGGCCATTTGCAGTATGAAAAGATATAAATTATCTTGCTGTATGGCGATTATGCTGCATGTTCTACTCATCAGAAGCATCAAATTAAGCAAAAAAGCTGCAGGTTTCTTTAAACGTATTCTTTAGGTACTTATTACAAATTATTAAATGAGATAAGATAATATAATCCTTTATTAGTCCCACAGGTGGGAAATCTAGGTTCAGAGCAGCAAGTACAAAAAGCAATAGAAAAATGTTAGCACGGCGAAAAGCACCATACAACCAGGTTGAAAGTTTAAATCACAAATAATATAAAATAAATATACAGAACAGATGGTGCAGTTTGAAAGAGTTTACAACAGTAGTTCTTTGAAAATATTGATATGCTGTTCAGAAATGCAGATGCGCACTCAGTGTAAACAATGCACTTTTATCAACAAATTTTGCTTCAAGTGGGAGGGGGGTATTCGTGTATTTTATTTGACTTTGCATCATCGTCTATCTAAACGCTTTGAAATTGGCCTCTGTTTCTTTAAGAACCCCCTAACGTTTCCGACACACCCACTTCAGCACATCTTCATAACAAAGCTTTGGGGGAGGGGTGCTCTGTGGGGCGGGAGCTCGGCTGCAGACTGAGCTCCAGGGAGGACCTTTGTATAAATAGGCGGAGCTTTGTACCAGCAAGTGCTTAGGCAGCTCCACGTGGCTACAGGAGTTTCAGCTACATCTCAAACATGGATGATTGAATCAAAGCAGCACTCTGAGTATGTTTTTCATGAGAAAATGACATTATAACATAAAGCTCAAAAAAGTCCAATCTGCATAACACCCCCACCACTTTAATAAATCTGAACTAATTTACAACCCATGAAAATGGAGGAATTGTTTTATTTTATTTACATGAAAAACCGAATGAAGTAAAAAGCCAGATCATGTTTTAAAATACATCTCCATCAAATTTTACTTAAATATCACTGCTTCCGGTCTTAGTGCATCAATACTCATGTGTATTTTAGTAAAAATATTAATAATTTAGGAAAACACTGTGACGCAGATATCAGCAGCTATCAAGTTCATTTTGTTATTTTTGTCCATCATCTTTTCTTCGGCTGCAGCTCACGTCACTGGACATAAAAGCTCCATGATGCACTTGGCAGTATCGCCAGTGTTAAATTACCTGGGACTTGTGCCCCCTCAGCATTCCACAGTAATTAAGAATATCTGCAGGGTCCACGGCGACTGTTCACAAAAGGAGGAGGACAAAGAGAGAAAAAAGGGAAAAAAAAGGAGCATGTATCTGTTTCAGCATATTGTGATGTCATCAGTGTGGCTGCTGGTGCCTGCTGGTCTTTATGTGTGTGTGAGAGAGAGAGAGAGTGAAGCCTGGGTGCTCTCTATCCCTTCCCCATTCCCTTAGTTCCTGAAAGAGAAAAGGGAGTGAGTGACTGTGTCAGGATGCAGAGGATGGCTTAGAAATGAAGTCATATGGGCTTAAGAAAAATAAGAGGGACTTAGAAAGAGGGGGGAAAGGGTCATACGTCCACCAATCAACTTGTGTCGGAGCGGCTCTGAGCACAAACGGAGTTGTGGCAGATGTTGTCTGAATAATGAGCAGGGGGGCGGGGCATGAAACCTTCTGCCAGGAGGGTGTCTGTCAGTGTGAGGGGAGCGATGGGAGAGGAAGGGCAGGCTTTTATTTTTTTTGTTTATCTAAGAGTACCAGCTCTCCTCGGAGCTGCCTGCGATTTTCTCCACAGCCTGCTGGATTTATTTGTGAATAGTTTCAAGACTTTTTATTTTGCTCACATGGATGCTGGGAGGATTTTCAGGACAACAAAGCACTTTGAACAAGAAGATAAGAATTTAAGTTTTGGAAAAACACTGGAGGACCATGTTAGGGCTTGGACTTGCTCTATGATTGGGGATTTTTAACAGTGTTGAGCATATGTTTTTGGAAGTGTTTTTTTAATTCTAGAACAACTTAATGTTTTTTATTTTTTAGAGAAACCACCCACTTATTAAATTATGGATAAATGTATTTTGAAATACAAGAGGAAATGTTTAGTGTTGATTTGATGATTTCTCATTTAGGAGAGCAGAAACATTATTTTGCACACAGTTGCTTCTCGTGTACGTTGTGCTCCTTTAGAAACTGCTCAACGTACACTAAAGCAACTTTCGCTGTACCTCAAAGGATTTCACTGCATCCTTAATCTTTTCTTTGTGGTGAGTGGTGACAGTTGTCTCAGCATGGGTAAACCACTGAGCAGACCAGATTGTCTTAGACAAAACCCTTCCTGCGTTGGGAAGGGGGAGGAGGAGGACCTGAACATTGATGACTGCTACGTTCCCCAGAGATCCATTTACGACACCGTACGTCTCAATGAACAGATAGACTCAGGATCTAAGGGCAGCCTCTCCTCCCGGCACTTCACGGGCACTTTACCTTACACCCATCGCACGTTGGACCTCAGCAGCCTGTGCGGGAATGGAGGTCTCTCGGCTTCTAGTTCCTTTGAGCTCCGAACAAGAAAACCCGCTGTGCTGGATGAGCGGGCGGTCTTCGACGGACTTAAACTCAATGGGAACATGATAAGTGACACAGTGCTGCCCAAGGGTCGTCTTCAGGGTGGAGAGAAGAAGGAGCATCCTCACCACCGCAGGTCATGGAGGACTTTTGCCCCCAGTAATTTGGGCGAATACGCCAACCGCAGTGGCACCTTGAGCTGTGGGACTGTAGAGAAGCCTGGCTTGACGAACGGCAGGAGAGGACAGAGCATGACCAACTCGTTGACATCTGAAGAAGACTCAGGTCTGTACAGTCCCTCCGCAGAGCGGCAGCGGCATGCACACAAATATCACAAAATATCAGGCCATGGAACAAGAAGCTTCTCATCGTCCGAGGCAATGCATATGTCAGGGGACCTGAAGACAGGACGCTCCCTCAGCTCCGGACAAGAGGACTTCCCTTTTTCTCCTGTGAGGGCCAACCTCTACCACAGCAGCAGTTTGATTCGAGAGCCACGACAGAAAGAGCCCGTTGTGGCGAAGCTTAATGAAAAGGATATTCCGAGCAATGGGGAATGCAAATACTCCACCGGGAAGTCGTCTTTAGGCTCAGCCTCCAAAAATCAAAACGGCAGCTCCGGCTGGCGTTCCAGGACTTTAACAGACTATGACAAGCTTTCCACGGCTGAGCTGTTGGAAGATGGGTCACCTCATGATGACTGTGAGCTGGTTAGCGTGGTGGTGACACAGCCTGAGACTTACGGAAACTCTGTAACTTTACCCACTGAGGGCCGCCTGCAGACATGCACTATGCAACAAGGAGTGTCCAAGTACAACATCGAGGAGCTGGAGGAGTTCCTGCAATCACTGGAGGCCTGTCTGCCAAAAGGTTTACACGCATTCCAGCATGCAGGGGAACAGGAGATCGAGGCCTTACTGAATGCCATTGCTGCATGCCCCGAGATTGACCCCATGGGTTATTTCTCTCCACAGGTGCCCCAAAATAGCTTCTCCCTTCGTTTCTGTTTTTCTTTATTAGCTGTTCCAGCACACGATCCCGTTTATGATAAATGTCTTTGCTTGTGTTGCTTCCTGGCTGCTGGATTCTTACATATCTGATTACATGATGGGTAAATTCGATTCTTCTCAGCCTGGATGTCTGTCACAGCCGTGCTTTAGCTGTTAAATCTGCTTTGCTGACTCAGTCAGTACCTCCTTGTTCTGGAGCTCCAGTTATTTTTGTCCAGTATTGAAGTGAAGATGATGTTTTTGAACCATGACTGAAATCAAACCCTTGGCCGTATCTTAAGCTTTAATCTTTCCAGATTACAGAAATTGAACTACTTAGTGAGAATGATTATACTGACATTGCCTTCAGCTGAAAGGTAAATGCAAACAATAGTATTTTTTTTCTGTCAGTGTGTGGTGGTGTTACAAAAATATCCCATAAACCACTAAACATTGTTTAATGAAACTTGCAGAAAATAATCATTGGCTTTACTTCTACAGCTGAGTAACGGTTGAAATCTAGGCCTTTGTTTATATAAACATTTAAAATATATTAACTTTGATTTATTGCTTGTCTTTAGGCTTTCCAGAAAGACGACATTGAACCATTACAGACACAGCTTCATGACATCAACTTGCTCGGACAGAGTCTCGTCCAAAATGCTGCTAAAGGCACCAGCACCAAGAAACTTGAAGATGACTTAGAGGGCATAAACTCAAAGTGGAATACCTTAAATAAAAAGGTTAGAATGGTTTACGCTTGTATTAGAGACATTTGTGGGAATGTAAGGAAATATTTGCACTTTAATAAAACACTTATTGGTAGTATTTTGTATTGTTACAAGCCCAAGTTAAATTAGTGACAACTGTATTTATCTGCAGATCGCTGAGCGTTCGGCGCAGCTGCACGAAGCCCTGCTGCACTGTGGGAGGTTTCAAGATGCTCTGGAGTCTCTCCTCAGCTGGTTAACTGACACAGAGGAGCTTGTGGCCAACCAAAAACCTCCTTCTGCTGAGTTCAAAGTGGTGAAAGCACAGATACAAGAACAGAAAGTAAGCCGTTATCACACTGAACAATACACTTAAACATACCAGCAACTCTGTTTTCATCTTAACACTTAAACACTAAAATGTACTTGACGTTTATTTTACCATTCATTTAATTTAATAGACATCCATTGTTGACTGTGAGTGTGTCGCACAAAGCTTTTGTTCAATGGACATCTAATTTGAGGCAGTTAAATTTACTGTTTTTCTATACAATGCCATGAAAATGTGCTCAATAACTCTCCGGCTTTGTTTGTGTCTGACAGCTCCTACAGAGACTGCTGGACGACAGAAAGCCGACCGTGGAGCTGATAAAAAACGAGGGAGGGAAGGTCGCAGAACTGGCTGAGTCTGTGGATAAGGAGAAGGTTGCAAAAGAGATTGAGTCCCTGGGGCAGAGGTGGGACACTTTGCTCAAGAAAGCTGAAAACAGGTTTGTATATTTGTAGGCTTGTCATTTAAAACCGTTACATGTACAAATTAAAAAAGAAGCAAGAATTCATGTAAATAATTTATTAGCCTGTTTGAGAGTGTTAAAAATGCCCTAAGATGGATGAACTTTTAAATACCTCCATTTCTCTTATTGTACTTTTCAAGCATTCATACTACTGAGATGATGCTTTTTTTTCCTCCATACTTTTTTCAGCATGTTGTTCTTTCCACAATTTTTGTGCTATTTCAACAATTCATATAATAAACATTCATCTCATTTATGCCATGGGTGCTACGACTTTTAGTATTTTAGCAACTTTTAGTTTTTTCAGCTATTTAGCTTTTTTGGCCACTTTTTCCTCATTGAAAATGAACAGACTGGTCTTCAACATCTATAATGTTTTTAAATCTTTACTGTGCTTTTTACCTTTTTACTCTGGTTTTGCTTCTTTGTGCTAATTTCAGTATTCTTTGGCTTCTTTTTTGCTTTCTTTCCAAATTTCAGCTATTTCAGCTATCTTTCTGCTATTCTTCTGCTAAGTTAAATATTTTGTGCTTCTTTCTGTTTTTTTTATGCTAATTTAAGCTGTTGTCTGCCTTCTAGGCTATTTTTTTTAGCAGATTTCATCTAATTTTAGCTTTTTCTACCAACTTAACTTTTTTGCGATAACATCCGCTTCTTACTGCCTAATTCAGCAAACAAATGCTCTTTCTGCATCTTTGTTTTAAATTTAGCTTTTTCAGCTACTTTTGAATTATTTTCAGCTTGTTTTAGTGTTTTAAGCTATTTCACAAATGGCAACTTTTTGGTACTTTTTGTGTTTTTTCTGCTAATATGAGACTTTTTACTGTTCTTTTACCATTTATCAGCCAAATCTATCTTGTTTCTGCTCTTTTTGGCTACATTTCTGCTCTGTTCAATTTTTTCAACATATTTTTTTCTACTGATTTTTCACTTATTTAATTTTTTTCCCCACTTTCAGCAGATGTCAGCTGTTCAAACTGAGCTCACATGAACAGTTTTCCTATTAAATAGTTTCATCTTCTGCAGTTTTCTGTAAAATCTTTCAGCAATAAGCATTTGCACTGCTTTTTTGCAGGAAATGCAGTTTCTCAAGTTAAAGTTTATTCTGCACTAAAAAATACTTTTTTCAGTTTTTTTTATAAATAAAATAAAAAAACATACATTGTATTATGTACTTTTGACAGTGATAACTCTATGGTTTTTAATCCTCTTTAACCCTATAATGCATGTGGCAGGCAAAAGCAACTGGAGAGCATCTTAGTGGTCACTCAGCAGTTCCATGAAACTCTGGAGCCGCTGAGCGAGTGGCTTGCAGCCACAGAGAAACATCTGATCAACTCTGAGCCGATCGGCACTGAGACGTCTAGGTTGGAAGATCAAATTTCTCAACATAAGGTAAAAATTATAATCTCACTCCTTATCTTTGTTTTCATTTTATGCGTTAACACCATCAGCTATGGTGTGTTGATTTCAGTTCTATTTGTTTTGCTCATTTTATTAAGTTTTCCCATTTTCCATTTAGTGAATTTTTTTCTGTTTCTTTTTATTTTCTGTTTTCTTTTTTTCCCCTTTTGGTCCATTTCCCATCACTCGCAATCAGGCCTTAGAGGAGGAGATTATGAACCGCAGTAAAGACCTGTTTCAGGCTGTCAGTCTGGGCCAAATGCTAAAAATGGTGAGCTCGGCAGAAGATAAGGAGTTTGTTCAGTCCAAACTGGACACCACTCAGGCCGGTTACATAGAGCTCCAGGAGCGGTGCCGGAGGAAAGCTGACATGCTGCAGCAAGCCTTGGCGAACGCCCAGCTGTTCGGAGAGGACCAAGTGGCCCTCATGAATTGGCTGAATGAGGTGCACACCCAGCTGAGTGACGTGTCATTGGAGGACAGCAAGTCTGACGTTCTAGAAAAGCAGCTGGCAGAGCAACGGGTATACACTCCTCTCCAGGCCACCTTTATTCTTTCTTTTTAGTTGCATCYGTCATCTTTCATTTTATTTCATTGATATGTTTGTCATACATTGTTAAAGGGATCCCCGATTAGTTGTAACATTAGATTTTATTTGATAAACATATATTTTAACTGTAAAATAAAGACTGTAAAAATAGATGTTTAGTTTTGTAAATTAAAAAAATATATATTTTAACACGGATGGAGCCATTTTATTTACACGCAAAGCATTCTGGGTAAATGATGACGTGGATAGGTCCTCGGTGCGAAGCTGCTGGCGAGCTATATCCACCCTGAAGGTTAATCTTGGACAATATCTGATGATCGACTCTTTTAAATGAAACCAGAGAGCGTTGACAGAGAGAAGGTAGAAATGACTCAGCCTGGAACTGAACATGTGGATGGAGGACAACAGAGCTACTTCATGGAAGAAGAACCTCAGCTTAGCCTGTTAGCTTTTGCGCTAGCGCCGACACTATATTGCCTTGTATGTATTAGCTCAGTGCTAGCACGACAAACAAGCTAAAGTGAGGTCCTCCATCCATATTTTCAGTTACASGCTGAGTCATTTCTACCTTCTCCTCTCTGTCAACGCTCTCTGGTTTCATTTAAAAGAGCCAATCATCAGATATTGTCCAAAATTGACGTTCAGGGTGGATATCGCTCGCTAGTAGCCTCGCACCAAGGACTTATCCATGTCATCATTTACCCAGAATGCTTTGTGTGTAAATAAAATGGCCCCGACGGTGTAATATATTTTTAATCTTGTAGTTTAAAAATGATAAAAACTAAACAGCCTACAGTATTTTTACAGTCTTTATTTTACAGTTAAAATATGTTTATCCAATAAAGTCTAATGTTACAACTAATCGGGATCCCTTTAACACTGGAATAGGTCCTAAACCTTTCACAGACTCACAGAGGTTTTTCTTTATAGACACTTCAAAGTGATATCGAATCAAAGAAGAAGAACGTTGATCAGGCCATCCTTAATGGGATGGAGCTGCTGAAACAAACAACAGGCATGTTTCATTTCATATCATGTGCTTTCTTTGGTAACAGATAAGAACAACGAGTTAAGCAACCAACTGTTTTTTTTATTTATTTTACACGAATATTCATAGGTGATGAAGTTGTTGTTATCCAAGGCAAACTGGATGGAATAAAAACAAAGTATGCAGAGATAAACTTGATGAGTGCAAATGTTTTGAAGACACTGGAGCAAGTATTGAGTCTCTCCAACAAGCTGCAGGGCACTCATACAGACCTGAGCTCCTGGTTAGAAAGAGCAGAAGCCGAGATAAAAATGTTTGCTGATCAGGAGCCAGCGGGCGAGCAGCTGACATGTTCACAAAACAGGCAAAAGGTATGTTTTTTTTTATTATTATTATTAAGTCTGTGTCTATTCACACAAAAAAAACCCACTTCACTTTATATTTTAACCTGATTTAGGCCTTATTAAAAGAAACTAAAGAACAAAAGCCCGTGTTAGACAAGCTGAATGAGCTGAGCAGCTCACTCCTGGATCTGATCCCCTGGCACACGAGGGACAGTTTGGACAAACTGGTGACCGAAGATAACGAGCGGTACCGAGCCATCTGCGACACCATCACCCAGCGGGTCGACCGCATCAACGCCGACATCCTCAAATCACAGCAGGTAAAATACACACGTTATAGCATTGCTTTTTTTTTTCTAAGTCTGTCTCTTTGTCTCGTCATTTAGTGTGTTTTTCTTCACATTTCCTCCCAGTTTGAGCAAGCTGCAGACGCTGAACTCTCCTGGCTGGCTGAGGCTGAGAGGAAGTTGCTGTCAGTGGGTGATATTAGGCTTGAGCAGGACCAAACCACAGCCCAGCTGCAAGCACAGAAGGTTATCCCATGATATTTTARATGTGGACACAATTTTTTTTAAAGAAAGCAATGTAAACACATTTGATTTWGCAGATTTTCTCCATGGACATCATGAAGCATAAAGATGTGGTGGATGAGATAGTGAAAACAGGAAAAGCCATCTTGAGCAGCAAAAACTCTGAAGAGAAAGAAGCTTTGAAGGTGAAATTAATTTGTTTTGACACGAGTAAACTTAAGTAAACAGCATATAAACTAAAACTTWTTTTAATCAGGCCAAGACCAAGAGTCTTTTGGAGAAGTATGGTATCATCAGTCAGCTGAATTCGGAGCGCTGRCTGCAGCTGGAGCGAGCCCAGTCTCTGGCCACGCAGTTCTGGGAGACCTACGAGGAAATGTGGCCTTGGCTACAGGAAACTTTAGGTACCTTCAGCCAGCTGCCCCAACCTGCCATCGAGTACGAAACACTCAGGCAGCAACAAGAGGAGCTCAGGGTAAGAAATCAACACCAGCTGTAAAACTTTTTTCCACCAAAAAAAAGAACCAACTTTRAATGTCTTCTCCAGCAAATGCGAGAGCTAATCGCTGAGCACAAGCCTCACATTGATAAGATGAATAAGACGGGGCCTCAGTTACTTGAACTGAGCCCGATGGAGGGAGCCCCCATCAGAGACAAATACACAACTYCTGACCAGCTCTACACCAAACTCAAGGCTGATGTCAAGCAGAGAGCTGCCACTTTGGATGAAGCCATTTCCAAATCCACACAGGTAAACTAAAATTAAATGCTTCTTTATTTTTCCTATAAACTAGACGTTTCACCGAGGAGCCTTGCGTGGTGTTTGGTTTTATAACTGAGCTTTTTTCTTCCTGTATTTTTTTTCTTCTCTAAGTTTCATGATAAAATCGATCCCATGCTGGAGTCTTTGGGACGGATTGCCGAACGCCTGCGTCAGCCTCCATCCATCTCAGTAGAGGTGGACAAGATCAAGGAGCAGCTCTCTGAAAACAAGACCATGTCTGTGGATCTGGAGAAACTGCAGCCTTCCTTTGAGACGCTGAAGCAACGAGGTGAAGAGATGATCYCTCGATCTGAAGGAGCAGACAAGGACATATCTGCCAAAGGTCTGGAATTTGTCTTATTTAAAAAAAATGTTTGTCGAAGTATAGTTCGGCTTTGTACATTCATTTGTCCTTTCAACTCCAGCTGTACAAGACAAACTGGACCACATGGTTTTCCTGTGGAACGACATCCAGGCCTTGCTGGAGGAYCGCGAGGCAAAGCTGCTGGATGTGATGGACCTGGCAGACAAGTTCTGGTGCGATCACTGCGCTCTCATCGTCACCATCAAAGACAGTCAGGACCTGCTGAAGGAGCTGGAGGAGCCCGGAGTCGACCCTTCTGTTGTCAAGCAGCAGCAGGAATTTGTGGAGGTGGAATGAAATGATCTAAATCACTTAATGAACCAGTTTTTAGTTGGCAATGAAGCATGTTACTTTATTAGGAAATGCTTCTTTTTATAAAACAGGGATTTAAGGAAGAAATTGACGGGCTGCAGGAGGAGCTTGATGTTGTTCAAAACCAAGGTGCAGAACTGATGACTGCCTGTGGCGAACCTGATAAACCTGTGATAAAGAAAAGTCTTGATGAGGTAACAGATTACTGCCAAAAAAAGAAAAAAAAACATGTATATTTTCCTGCACTTTCTTATTTCGCACTTTCTTATTCTCATGAGCATTCATGTGATTAGGTTCTGTCAGCCACATGAAGATAATCTGATGTCTTGCAGGTGAATTCAGCGTGGGAAAACCTCAACAAGACTTGGAAAGAGAGAGTAGAGCGATTAGAGGAAGCCATGCAGGCCGCTGTGCAGTTTCAGGATGGACTGCAGGTACTGAGATCACAATAAGACACTTCCCAAAACCAAACAATCACAGTTAGAGAATGTAAACCATCAACGATGCTTTCAGTTTTTGGCTGTTTTCATCATAAAATACACAGATACTTGTTTATGTAGACAAGTTTTCTTTAATCTTTTAAAGTTAAACACAAAAGTGAGCCAAAGCATTTTAAGGCCCTCAGATGAAACATCAGATTACAGAGCAGATTCTTTGGGTGATATGTCATTTTACGAGAGCTTTGCTAATTTAGAAGCAATAAACACCAACTCCAGTCTGGTGCTATATTTGGCTCAGGCTTTAACTTGTGTGTCTTATAAAATCTTGTTTTACTGTGGGAGACAAATCTACACTGCTGGTTTCTTTTTAATTGAATTCAAGTTTATTCTCTTTTTTGTATGTTTTCCTAATTTTCAACTGTACAAACCGGTTTTTAGATTTATTACGTAACATGAGCTGAACATGATTCTCTTCTGCCCTAACCTTTGTTTTCTCACTTTAACAAAGGTTTCCTGTTTTGCATTCAGGGTATGTTTGACTGGGTGGATATTCTGGAGAACAAACTGGATACAATGTCCCCTGTAGGCACAGACCTGGAGACGGTCAAGCAGCAGATTGTAGAGCTCAAGGTACTACTTTGTGTTTTAGCGCAGGATGAAAAATTATGTTGTATACACTAAAAAACTTGGTCATTCTCTTCTGTTCTGGGTTATGAACTGGTTTCTTTACATTCAGTTTTTGCTGACAAAGCAGATGACTCAAACACCATCTGTGTTTATATTCAGTGCTTGATCCARAACCAGTAGTTGGTCTTTTTTTRCCCTTTTTGTTCAAGTGCAAAAACCACAAAAAAGAATAGCTTCACGAAGTGAAACGTGTGCTTTGATGTGCAGTTAGGCTGATCTTTTCCTTCAAAGACAGAGCTTGTATTGTCTGTGTTCAGTGCTTTTGTTGACTGATCAGGTGTGTCGCTGCATGTGTTGTTGTCTTCCAGGAGTTCAAAGGAGAAACGTACCAGCTCCAGATTGAGATGGAGCGTCTGAACCACCAGGCCGGCCTCCTGCTGAAAAAGGTGACGGAGGAGGCCGATCGCTGTGCCATCAAGGAGCCCATGTCCGAGCTCAAGATGCTCTGGGACAACATGGACGAGAAGATAATCAGCCGCCAGGTCAGAGCGGGGAACAGTACCACTAGAAAATGATTAGGTGTTATTATTAAGGAGGCACTGATTCCAGTTTTCTGACCAATCTCCATCACCGATCTTTAAAAAGTCGGACTTGCCAAATCCGATTTTGGACGATACTGATTTTTTTAAACAGCTTACATTGTCAGATGCTATAAGGTCAAAGTACAGCTTCAGTGTTCCAATCTTATTTTATTGAAATACACTAAACAATACCCTTGAAACAATATAAAATTGTTCTAACGGAACATTATTGCTCACAGCAGAYTAAAAGGAGACAGTGGCTGGTTTTCAGACCTTTGTGGAGGAAGAAAAGCTGATCTTTTCTGCCGATCTRATCTAAGGATCGGCCGGTCTCCCAAAATTAAGGAAATCATTTAAGGAAATTAGGGACATTAAAAGATTTCCTAAAGTCCTTAAAAGTTATTATTCAGTTTGTTTAATAATTTATGCCTTCTATTTTTATTCCTGTCATTGTCCCAGAAGCACAATCTGTTCAGCTTATTTCTGCCCACGCCAAAAGAAATACATCCAGATCGCCATGCTCAATTTAGGGAAAATTACTGGTAATAATTGTTTTCATCCTTAATTATAAAGCTGTGCTAAAATTTTTTCTTGTAAATGGTTTTAATATAATACATAATATACATTCTGATATTTATAAAATATAGATTTACAAAGTGTATTATGTATAAAATTTATTTAAATATTACTTGCTATAAATGGGCCTATTTTCCTAGAATTCTCTTAATGAATAACTTTCAAACTATACTTAAAAAATATACTTAAGAAGAAAATTGCTTATTGGATTGATTGATTGATTGATTGATTGATTGATTGATTGATTGGTTGGTTGGTTGTTTCGTTGGTTGGTTGGTTGGTTGATTGATTGATTGATTGATTGGTTGATTGGTTGATTGATTGATTGGTTGATTGGTTGATTGACTGGACTGTAATGTGTTCACGCTGTCAATGTCTGGTGGTCTCATAACGGACAACAGAGGTGACGAAAGACTGAAATCGAATCCATTCTGTCATCAAGCTGTCTAGCGAAACGCTACATGCTAAATAACAAACAAAGCCCTTCTGGAAGTATTGTTTTTAGAGCATGCACAAATGAGCTGGCGGTACAGATCATGTTTCAGGGACAGATCAGGCAGTGACTATTCCACTAAATTCAGATACAGCATAAATAATTAAGTTATGAAAGAAAATTGAAATAAACGTTTTTCTCTCCTTAGCATAGGATCTACTGAACAATACCTTCTAAAGGCTGATGGATGTGGTCTGTGTGTGTCAAGTGCTTTCTCTGAATGTCATGTCTAACGGGTCAATTTGTCATAAATCCAGCACAAACTGGAGGGCGGCCTCCTGGCTCTGGGCCAGTTCCAGCATGCCCTGGATGAGCTGCTGGCCTGGATGAGCCACACCGAGGAGCTGCTCAACGAACAGAGAAAAGCCGCAGGAGACCCCAAAGCCATCGAGATAGAGCTCGCCAAGCACCACGTATGACGGGCTCCATCATTTTCAGATTTGTTTTAAATCTGTTGCTAAAATAAACCTTTTTCAATTAAAAAATACATTTTATTTGTGAAAGCTGGACAAAAATCACATCCTTTTAGTTAACTTCTTTTCATTTCTGGCTGCTTTTTTTCCAAACAGGTGCTCCAGATAGACGTGTTGGCTCATAAATCAACCGTAGAGACGGTGAACAAAGCTGGTAATGAATTAGTGGAGTCGAGCGCTGGGGAGGAAGCTTCCAGTCTGCAGAGCAAACTGGAGAATCTGAACCAGAGGTGGAAAGCCATCCTGGAGAAGACGGAGCAGAGGAAGCAGCAACTGGAATTGTCTCTGCTTCAGGTTACTGATTTATACTTACTGCAACTTAATCCTAATAGGTTTAGGCATCCGAGAAGCTTTCTTTGCAGTTTTTGTTGGCTTTGTGCACTAACCTTAACAACCCACAGGAAAGAGGGGAGGGTGACTTGCATGCAAGTTCAGGTTGCAACAGCAGATCAAGTCATAGCTTAAAAATTTGGAAATCCACATTTATAAGTTTAATTGAAGGGATCCCTGATTAGTTGTAACATTAGACTTTATTTGATAAACATATATTTTAACTGTAAAATAAAGACTATAAAAATAATGTAGGCTGTTTTTTTGTAAATATTTTAAAATATATTTTAACACAGACAGAGCCATTTTATTTACACACAAAGCATTCTGGGTAAATGATGATGTGGATAGGTCCTTGGTGTGAGTGAGCTATATCCACCAGGTTCTTCTTCCATGAAGCAGCTCTGTTGTCCTCCATCTATATTTTCAGTTACAGGCTGAGTCGTTTCTACCTTCTRCTCTCTGTCAACGCTCTCTGGTTTCATTTAAAAGAGCCGATCATCAGATATTGTCCAAGATTAACCTTCAGGGTGGATATAGCTRGCTAGCAGCCTCGCACCGAGGACCTATCCATGTCATCATTTACCCAGAATGCTTTGTGTGTAAATAAAATGGCCCCGTCTGTGTAATACATTTTTAAACTTTTACATTAAAAATGATAAAAACTGAACATCCTGCAGTATTTTTACAGTCTTTATTTAACAGTTAAAATATATGTTTATTAAATAAAGTCTAATGTTACAACTAATCATAGATCTCTTGAATTAGAAGCAAAACATCTTCAGAACTTCACCATTTGCCTTCATTTAAACCTACATGGATTGATCTAGCAAGTTTGACTGAGAACCTTCCCTGCCACACTGTAACCTAAAACCACTGCATTATTACTTTTTAGTTTAATAAAGGTTCTCGTTCTTTTATCCCAAAGGAGCAAATATGATATGTCAAACTCATATGATCTTGTCACAAAGGGGGAGTAGTTTTCCGTTTCCTGATTTGTTTTGATTCCCGAGGACTTTTCTGTTCATATGTTTGACATTTGAAGTGGAAGGGAGGTGCTGCGATGTGATGAAGAGAATAAAAACTTAAAGTTTCCCTAATGCCAGTAAGTGTCTGAAAAGCGCTTTCGTTTAGTTTAGAGTTTTTCATGCACCTGTATTATTGAGAAATATAATAATGTTACGTGACAAAAGGACAGACAACAATTGTGAATTGCCCCGTTGTTTTCCCTCAAAAGCTTCAATTCATTATAGGCCACCCTTTTTTTTACCCTGCTGAATACGTCACAGACAAGTCCGGGGATTTAATAACTCAGTCATGTTCCTCTGCGAGGCTCGGGTTCCCAACAATAAGCGTGTGCGTGAGACACGGTTTTTGTCCTGACTCAGGTTGTATTGTGTTGTAGGCCCAAGGTTTCCATGGTGAGATCGAAGATATGCAGCAGTGGCTGAAAGACACAGAACGTCAGCTGTTGGCATCAAAGGCTGTGGGAGGCTTACCAGACACGGCTCGGGAGCAGCTTAACGCCCATCTGGTATGTGTTTAACAATGTGAAAGGCAGCTTACAGATGGCAGGCTGCCAAGGAGGGTGACCGTGTCTTTTTTTTTTCTGTGTTTTATCAAAAGTGTGAAAGTTAAATGACACCGCAAAATAAACTACTTGAAAAAAAAACTGAAAAAAAAAAAAGACAAAAACCTTTTAAGTGTTTCCAATTGATTCAGCCATGTCTGACTGTAATGAATTTAGGAATGTTTTCCTTCTTTGTTTTTCCTTTGCAGTAGTGGAGACACTTAAGCCACAAGAGTTTCCTAAAGAAACATTGGTGGTGACATTTAATAGAAGTAAAAACAGAAAACTTTTGGAAGCAATAATGTTTTATCAAATTGGAAACATGTTTACGGGAAATATGCCTGCTTCACGGTGCTCATTCTTTGACCATTTTTAGACGAAGCTTGGAGTAACTGCTGACAAATGAACCGTCTTAAACTGTAAATAGCCTCGGTGACAAAAGCATTGCTTTCCTCATTGCCGTTGTATCTTTTTTTTTCTCTCCTTCTCACAGGAGTTGTGTTCTGCCTTTGAGGCCAAGGAGGAGCTGTATCAGGAACTGCTAAACAAGGGTCACCAGRTGCTCGCGATGACGCCTGAGGGTCCGGACAGCAACACGGAGCATGACCTCACCAACCTGAAGGAGAAGTGGGAATCTGTGCAGGCAAAGGTCACAGAGAGAAAGGTAGGGCTGGGGGGGTGGGAGGCGMGTCTTCGCTAAAGTGGCTTTCCCTACTTTTAACCTGATGATTCAATTTTTCAGGTCCCTGCAAGGGATCACTGACAGACGTTTGAGTCATGAAGGTGCAGCGGAAAGCCTTTAATCCCAGTCTTGATGAATGTTCACAAAGTGTTGGCAGTGACACACAGGATGTGGTTACACGCCAGAGATCACAGTTTCTGCCTCGGTGGAACAACACTGTTCTCATTTGTTCCCTGCGCAACGAAGATCTGACAATCTAAAGCTAAAGATTAAAACAGATATTTGAGACTTTTATTTTCTTGCCAAAATAAACAAACGTTACGTTCTGGATTCTTGCAAATCCCAGAGCTCGTCCGACCGACGTGGCTTTCTTGTTGTCAAAAAGCACAATTTTCATAAGAAGAATTGCAGAATTTTGAAATTCAAGGGGTTTTATTTAGCAACACTTTTAATGAAACTCTCAAAAGTAAAAATAAACAAACTAAGTTTCGAGTTCAATCCTTTTTAAGCAACCGTAGCAACAAAAATGTCTTTAGCCACATCTACAGAGCTGGATTTTAGTGTTGTGGTTGCTGAGAGTCATTCACAACCTGTTTCCTGAGCACTGACACATCTCATGAGAACTCACAGAATTGAATGAGATCACCAATAACGTCATTGACATGCTTTAACCAAAACAGCTGTTACCCCGTCTTTTCTCAGTATGTAATACTCTTAGTTTAAAACTTTGGCATAAAAGTCAGCAAGCAATATGCATTCCTTCAAATAATACCAGGCCTTTGCTGATTTGGATGACGTAGCTCTGCATGTTTGTCTTTGTTAAAAAGTCATCATTGCCTTTCAGCATCACCATTAATGCATCAACTGTGGATTAAAATCTGTGTTGTTCTTACTGATATTTATTTAAGAAAAAAAATCAACACTTTTCTGTTTTTTTTGTCTGTCCTCAGGCAAAACTAGAGGAAGCTCTAACGCTGGCCACAGATTTCCACAACTCTCTTCAAGACTTCATTGTTTGGCTAACCCAAGCAGAGCAGACGCTGAACATAGTCTCCCCCGCTTCCCTCATCCTGGAGACCATCATGTTTCAGATTGATGAGCACAAGGTAACGTTTGTGCACCGAGGACGGCTGCGCGGCCTCCAGAAAGAAACAAAGTGCTGATGAAAATGAATAGATTTTTAAATGCCGCACGATTAGGGAACGTATTCTTAGACGTCGCTGTTTGCTGTTTGTGCAGATGTTTGTGACGGAGGTGAARGCTCACAGAGAGCACATCATTGACCTGGACAAGGCAGGAACGCACCTGAAGTACTTCAGCCAGAAACAAGACGTGGTGCTGATTAAGAACCTTCTGCTGAGCGTGCAGGGCCGCTGGGAGAAGCTGGTGCAGAGATCTGTAGAGCGAGGGCGCCTGCTGGACGATGCCAGAAAGAGGGCGAAACAGGTACTGGATGATGCATGTTTGTACTCTGCTTGTTTCCCTGCTCTCAGGAGCCTTTATTACCATTGGAACATTCACTGGAAAAAAATAGATTAAGCCTGTTTAACATCCTGTCTCCATGCTGTTACTATATTTTTATTAGCGCGGGCCGTTTCTTTTCTTTGGGCCGGAAAGCACAATCGTGTGAACACAAAGCAGAACATTGTAATAAATCAACTTGAATATTGCATATTGATGTTTTACACTGTTTCCTAATATTTCTGTAGTTCCACGAGACCTTCAATAAACTGATGGAATGGTTGGAGGAATCTGAGAAGAGCCTGGACTCTGAAGTGGAAATTGCCAACGAACCCGACAAGATCAAGACACAGCTGGTGCAGCACAAGGTGATCAATCATAATCCTTTTATCTATATGTCAGAGCTTTACGTGGTGTCTGCAACTTTTTTTTTTTAGGAAAATCCATACATCTAAACTGACTTTTCAGAAAAAATGTATCTTCAGTTCCTTTAAAAACATTGTTCTCTTTGAAATCTTGCTTTAATTTTTGCTTTCTTGAGCTTTCAGTTAGCCTTTTTTACCTTTTAGCTGCCATTCCACTACTTTTTGCTTTATCTATGTTCAGCATTGAGCCGCCATTTTTATTATTTTTGGCTTTTTCAGCTTTCACTTTGATTTTTCACAGAAAAAAAAACACTTTCTCTCATTTACACTTGGTTCTTGTTGTGTTTGCAGTGTTATTTGGGGAGATTGGGCTAATCCTATCATAATCCTGGGAGGGACCAAATGTATTAGGGATTGGATACTTTTAATCTCTGTGGAGCATTGGCTGAAAATTGACCTAGTTTTTTGTCCCCCCCCCACCCCCACCCCACTGAACACTGCCTTCTTAATCACAACACACACAAACACACACATGCAGATTAGAATACGTTTTGGCATTTCAACACCAGAAAGAAGTAAATCTATAGACTTTGACCGACCCGCAAAAACTGACTGCTTTGAGCTCGTTTATGACTGATAAAATTATTTGCTTGCATGCAGGAGTTCCAAAAAGCTTTGGGCAGCAAACACTCGGTGTACGACACCACCGCTCGAACGGGCCGAGCACTAAAGGACAAAACTGCCCTTCAGGATGACAAACAGAAACTGCAGGACACGCTGAGCGAGCTGAGGGACAAGTGGGACACAGTTTGTGGCAAATCAGTAGAAAGGTGAATATTACTCTGTCCACACTTGCTTCTGCCTTTTTATTTCTCCAAACTTAAGTTAGATGAGGTGTCATTCATTTGTCTCTGGTTCTACGCTGCAGACAAAACAAGCTGGAGGAGGCCCTGCTGTTCTCCGGTCAGTTTACTGATGCCCTCCAGGCTCTCATCGACTGGCTGTATAAAGTGGAGCCTCAGCTGGCTGAGGACCAACCCGTGCATGGAGACATTGATCTGGTTCTCAACCTGATAGATAACCACAAGGTACAGGAGCAACACCACACCTGAGGCACGAGATGTCACACTTTCATTGACCAGATAGTTGTTTTATGATGARTGCAATAAAAAWGGTTAAAGGCTTCCTTTTGATCCTAAATCACACCAGGGTCAGGCTACAAAGTCAAGTAGTGAAAGATATAGCACTGTTATATTATTTTCATTAAAGTTGACAACAAAATTGTTGTTGTTTTTTCGCCACTAATTATATTTTAAAAAGAACATTTGCTGTCAATGTATTTACTGTGCTTCTCCACTTGAAAGGGGTAGGCACCCACACAGAGTTTTTCAACTAGATTCCACTCAGTGACCAAAAATTTCTCCATTTTTAATTTCTTCATTTATTTACAGCCCCTTTTCCTTTTTTTCCAGGTCATTTTTTCAGGTAAAAACCCCTTAAACCCAAACATTTTCCCCAAAAGGGCCAAAATGAAAATCTATCCAGAGCTGCAGGCCAAATGCAGTAATATAATACATGAAATACAAATACTTTTAAAGTAAAATCCTGTGTTTTTAACGATTAGGCTAGCAGCCAGTGCAGTGGCCCACTTTTGTTTTAGCCTGTGCACTTGAAGAAAGTCTGATCAAGCAGCAAAGGCTCATGGGACATTTCATAAATTGATAAAATATATTTGTTTGTTTTTTTGCCTTATAAACTGTGCAAATCTACATGTGTGGTTAAATCYAATCTAAATCTCTGTTATTGTTACTTGTATTTCGTGTTTCATGTTTACTCTCAATATATCAAAGATAAAGTCAGCACCATGCGTGAAAACTATCTGCACTTCAGCCCCTTATAGTCATTGGACCAATGGATGAAATGACTAAGTGGAAATACTGTGTTTCTACATAAGATGACACATTACAACAGTAACTATGCTGTAAATCAAATAGCTTGGTGGGCCAAATTTGACCCACGGACCCCGCTTTGGGGTCCTCTGCCTTAAACAAACTAATAATACCAAACACATTCAGAAGTAGTGTAAAGAATACACAGTTAATGCATTAATGACTAGAAGACCATTAGCTTGAATACATCAATTTTCATCAACAGCATTAAACTTAAAAGCAACTGTCTTCAAAATCTGTCAAACACTTTAAAAGTCTTCTTTTCCACAGGACTCTGTAAAATGTAATATCAAGAAAATACTCTCTTTTTCTCGTGATGCCATAAAATACACACTAAACAAGCTGTTACACATTATACTTTGAATGAGCCAATACGCTTGACTTGACAGATACACATGTGCTTATCTCGTCGCTGCAGGTTTTCCAGAAGGAGCTGYGGAAGCGGACGGTGAGCGTTCAGGCTCTGAAACGTTCAGCGAGGGATCTGATCGAGAGCAGCCACGACGACTCCTCCTGGGTGAAGGTCCAGATGCAGGAGCTGAGCACTCGCTGGGAGACGGTGTGCAACCTCTCCGTGTCCAAGCAGACTCGGCTCGAGCAGGCCCTCTGCCAGGTACCCCCAGAGTCTTTGCACAGAAGGTGAAGTGGCTTTTTCAGGCCGTGTTAATGTGTCGTCTTGCCGCAGGCTGAGGAATTTCACTCCACTGTTCACATCCTGCTGGAGTGGCTAGCTGAGGCCGAGCAGAGTTTGCGATTCCATGGTAGCCTGCCCGATGATGAGGAGGCTCTGCAGGGGCTTATAGAACAACACAAGGCAAGTGGTGTAAATTTTTATGGTTTATTTATTAACCTTGATTTTTTCTTATATAAAATGTATTTTACAAGGTTTTGGCTGTATTATAAAAATAAATAAACTTGCCAGCATTCTTTTTTGATTGTTTTTTTTTTTTCTTGAATAAACAGTTAAGTCTGTTTTTCAACCTGTCACCCTTCAGGCCGAAAACAGAGCGCTTTAGATTACTTTCCTAAATATGATTTCATCAGACGAAAATAGCTCTGCGTTGTTCTTACATTAAAGCATGCGTTGGCGACGTTTCCCTTTTTTAATGTTTACTGGTGATAATCCAACTCTCCTCTGTTTACTGCTTTTAAGGAGTTCATGAGGAAGCTGGAGGAAAAGCGAGTGGGTCTGAGCAAAGCAACCAGCATGGGGGAGGCCATTCTCGGCATCTGCCATCCGGATTCCATCACAACCATCAAACACTGGAACACCATCATTAAAGCCAGGTTTGAAGAGGTCAGTGTGCAGCTGCTCGCTAGCAGATATACTGTACCTCTGTGGGTTTGATAGAACACATTGCACTGTTTGAATTTGTCAAGCTGAAGAAAAAAAGATTTATTACAGTAACAACAACGTACTATAGGTCAGAGGATCTTAACCTTTTTGACTTCAGGGCCCAATTTGTTGATTGATTTGATTTGATTTATTGATTTAACAGGAAAAGATTACTAAAAATCAAGCCTGACTCAGCATAATTGCTGTTTTACAGCAGGTTCCTGTTCTGCAGCACGTAAAACACTCAGAATTACAGCATCATAATCACATCATTATACACCATAGACACAAAGACAAACAAGCATACCAAATTTCAGGAAGGCAGCATTTGCAAAATAGGACGTCTAAATATGAGCACAACAAAAAGTGTCCAGCAGATGGCAGACAAGATTCTTCTTAAAGGGCCGTAGTTTTGAAATGGACTTTATGTTTTGAGGAATGTCATTCAATGCTTTAGTATAAACATAGAAGAAAGACCTCTGGCCGTAACAGTTTTTAAAAGTTGGTAATATCAGTTTTCCTTTTATAACAGATCTAGTTGAATGACCACTTCAACAATTTGATTTGGGCAACAATGCACAGAGAGTTCCATAATTGGCACCTTGGAAGATCTGAAAATATAAATTAATACCACTATACAAAACCTAATTCTGAAAAGTCAAGGGAACATAAAGTGGCATGAGGCCCAGTCAGACATTACCATACAGATCAAAATGATAATTATTCTAAATCTTGGTTTAATTTATATTGTATTTACATTATAACTAAATTAAATACACTTACAGTATAAATGTAAAATTCCTGTCAAATAATCACAAGACATGATTATGACAAACATTTTTTTTTATTGTAACCTGCCCATAAAAATTATTTCAACAAATACAACGGTCAGTCAACACACCACTCAGGCTTTAACAAAAACACAAAAATAAAAATTTTTAAACATAAAAACAAAAATTGACAATTCAATAAATAAAACTGTGGTCATAAAATAAATACTTTCAAAATGTTCAATGTTTCAAATAAAAAATGTAAAAATAAATTGTATAAATTGCAAATGAAAATATAGCCTTTTTCAACTTTGGCATGGTAGAACCAGAAGCTGCTCTTCATATTAGTGAAAAACTTTGGCCTTTTTTGACYGGTTACCTTCGTTTTTGCCTTCTACTTTTCGTTTAAAAGAAGTTTCCATTTTCGGCAGGTAGCTAAGATTCTTCTTCTACGTATAAATAAGTTGTTAAACATCTGAGTGGCGCACTACTGCTACTAGTGGTGAGAAAGTGTATTGCACCTTATTCAAAATCAATGTGGTCCTGCGGCCCTCTACGGCCCAAAGTTAAAAGCTGTTGTTCTTTTGAGGCCCTCGCGGCCCACAATTGGTTCGCGGCCCATAGCTTAAAAATCTCTGCTATAGGTTATTAACCAAATTAGACTGTTTTCTTTTCATATTTTTAACAAAGAATGTTCATAATGCTGCTATTACAGGTTCAGGCTTGGGCCCGGCAGCACCAGCAGCGACTGGCCACGGCCCTGACCGATCTGTTAGCCACTCAAGATCTACTGGAGAATCTTCTGACCTGGCTGCAGTGGGCTGAGACCAACCTGAACGATAGAGACAACGAACCCCTGCCTCAAGAGATTGAAGAGATCAAAACTCTAATAGCAGAACATCAGGTGGAGTCAAAATGCAGATAAAAACTGTCACACCAACATCATTGCATGATTTGTTTGTATAACAGAAGATGGTATTTTCCCCTGTAGGCGTTCATGGAGGAAATGACCAGAAAGCAGCCAGACGTTGACAAAATCACCAAAACACATAAAAGGAAGCCTGCTGCGGAGCCTCAAAATCAATCTCAGATTCCGGTTCTGGACAAAGGAAGAACTGGAAGTATGTATCACACTAATACCCCACAAAGAACAAAGCCTGAGCCACCTGGCTTTGTGCTGAGTCACTGCAGGAAGATGTGACATCCTCATCTTCCCCCATTTTAGCACCTGGAATGATGTCATCGTGAATCTATTCCTTTTTACGAGGCTCAAACACGCTTATGGTAAAGGATTTTGTGTTTCGTTTACAGGAAAACGCTCTCCCACACAAACGATGTACGCATCGACCACACAGGCTCCTATAGAAACCAAGAACCCACGAGTCAACCTGCTGGTCACCAGGTGGCAGCACGTGTGGCTGCTGGCCTTGGACAGGAGGAGGAAACTCAATGATGCTTTGGACAGACAGGAGGAGGTAAGTCCAGGTGTCAGTCTTATGGCAAACAGGTGTTCTAGTCAACTTTGTGCTCATTCTTTTTCTTTTTCTTTTTTTAGTTAAAGGAATTTGCTAACTTTGACTTTGATGTGTGGCGTAAGCGCTACATGCGCTGGATGAACCACAAAAAGTCCCGTGTCATGGACTTCTTCCGCCGCATCGATAAAGATCAAGACGGCAAAGTGACCCGACAGGAGTTCATAGAGGGAATTCTTTCCTCCAGTAAGTGTTCAGCACACAAAATCCCAGCTGCTCAGCATGTAACCAAGCAAAAACACTCAGCTTACACCACATGATGGCTCCTTGGCAGAGTTTCCAACCAGCCGGCTGGAGATGAGCGCCGTGGCGGACATATTTGACAGAGACGGTGATGGATACATTGACTATTATGAGTTTGTGGCAGCGCTCCATCCCAACAAAGATGCCTACAAGCCGTTAACAGATGCTGACAAAATTGAAGATGAGGTAGTAAAAGTTGTCAAAGCTGCAGTTTTAGATCATCTCTCTGGAATGTGTTTTAATAGCAGCATTTTTCTGTTTCTAGGTTACACGTCAAGTTGCAAAATGCAAATGTCCAAAACGATTCCAAGTGGAGCAAATTGGAGCAAACAAATACAGGGTAAGATTTTTACGTAAAGAAAAGCAAGCAATTTTTAAATTCTTTAAATGCTACTTTAATATTTTATGGGAAATTCATGTGACGGTAAGTATGAAATGTGACCAAACAAAAACAAGCATTTAATACATTTTTGTTTTTGCATCACCAGTTCTACCTTGGAAATCAGGTACATTTAAATGTCTTTTCTTGTTTTTTTGTTTGTTTGCTTCTTCTTCTCCTGTCCTGCACTTACCACGTTTCTATGCAGTAAAAGTTTCTGCCCAGATTCCTGGCTGCACCTTTCAGGCTGGAACTCAGAAGCAGAACCAAAATATAAACGTAATCGGATTCAGTTTTAAAAAGACAATTTTAAAGACAAAAATTGGTGAAATTTGGTGAAATACTCACCAAAAGTCTCACACATTTAGTTTCTTTTTTGTCACTTTGTTCCTGTAAATGTTCTTAAATCTGCTTTTGAGTTTCAGAAATGGCTACCAGCACCATTTCAGCAGTTGTTTTATTGGCTCATGGGCATAAAGTCATCTGCTGAGCACATACTAATGCTTTCTGTCTGCTTGCTTTTAGTGCTTCAGCTTCATGGGAATGATTTACACCACAATGTATTTTTTAAAATATGTGAACAGTTGGGGAGTCTTGATAATTCAATGAATGTGTTGCATTTAAATGATTGATTTAACTTTTTGTGATATATATAGTGTATGTAAAGTTATTGTGTGATATGAGTCAGTTAGAAGGAACAGTAGGTGGTTCATGTCGTGGTTTGTATTGATGTCTCACTCAACWATGAACTGAAATCACTCTTTTGACAGTTTGGTCTGGTTCACTGCTTACATGACTCCCTAATGGGCGATGAGACAATAGCAAACAGAGAAAATCAAAATCTTACCCACCATCTACACGTTGCTGTTTTGGAAAGCTGTATTCTGGTAAATGGTTACTCTTAAGCTGTTTCTTGTGCCTCTTTGTTTTGTTTATTTTTTCATCACCTTTTAATGTTTCTGACCACCAGAATCACCAGATGCATTAAATCATTCTGAGAATCATACCAGTGCAAGATCCTGAGCAGTTTAAGCTGCACCATGCAGTAATGAGAGCTTAGCAGAAGGTCATCAGTGTTTGGTCATGTCTGCGTGTTGCACAGTGGTGAATTAGACAGAAATGACTTGAGCCATACTTCATTTTCTCAAGAAATAGCTGCATWTGATCTGCATCGGTGTCAGTGCATCCTGAGTACTCGAGTCGTAGCTGTAGAAAAAAAATGCAACAGAGAGTTTGCTGCAGTTTGATGTTTGTTCCTTTTGGTCATGATGTGAGCCTGTGTTGGACGGAAAGCATGCCGCCGTGATTGTTCTGTGCTAATGATGTTTTTATGCTAATGCTCATCAGCTGTCTAACATCCCTCTCATCACGTTCATTAAGCTTGGATTGTGTGTATTTAAAAAAAACTGTATTTTGTGTTCCTATGCTTTTTATGTGTGGTTGGTAAGCTAAAACCAAATGATTGCACAGTAGTGCCCTCTGGTGGTTCATTATTGTGCCTTCAGCTGTGTGTTTTTTTGTAGGTTCAACCTACAGTAAAAGACTGATCCTTCATCGGACTGAAACTTACACATTTGCATAAGTTACAAAAATATTAAAACAACCAGTCATATGTGTAAAGCTGTGGATTTAGGTTTTAGTTATATTCTGACAACTTCACTCAAATTAAACTGAGTTTAAACCAGAACAGTTTCTGGTGTAGAGCCTGACTGATTCTGATTCTGTAACTTTAAAGTTTATTCTGCTATGCGCTGCAAGTAGTGATGATATTTTTCAGGGTACATCCCTTTTTTCCTACAGTCCAAAAACACGCATATTACCATATTTATTCATGTATAATACGATCTCGAGTGTAAAACGATCATTTTTTGAGTTTAAAATGCATTAAAAATCTAATTGTCAATAACCCGTGTATAATACTACCCCCCCCTCCACACACACACACACTTTATGGATGARTTTTAGGGTTAGATTTCTACTATTATACATGAATAAATACAGTATGTGTTTTATTATTCTGAATTGACTGTAGAAGTGAGACGTAGTTTCTTATGTGTCTCTGTTTTGACCCTAATGACCTCTTCAGACCTTCTTGCCTCAGATTAGGTTAAATTACCTCCAGCATTAATTAGTCACTAAACACTGTGCAGTCGTAGAAAATGATAAAAAAAATTATTGGATGAATTAATTAGTGAATTCTTAGGGGGCGGGGTATTTTCCAGGCACATAGTTCAATATTTGACTTTGCATCATAGCYTCTAAACGGCTTGAAACCTGCTACTGTTTCTGACACTCCCACTGCAGCTCGTCTTCACAACAATGCGCCGGGGGAGGGGGTTTGTGTGAAAAGGGAGAGTGGTTTGTACCAGCAAGCYTTAAGGCAGCTTCACATGGCTACCACAAGGATTTGATCAAACATGCATGAATGAGTCAAAGCAACACCCTGGGCATGTTTTTGATGAGGGAATGATATTATAGGAAGATATAAGGCTCAAAAAAGTTCATTTTGCATACCCCCCCTTTAAAATATCTCCAAAAATTATGATTTAAATAAAACTGCACTTTTCTCTCAGTTGATTTTAAATCAGTCAGGCTCAACATCGAATGACTGAATGTGCTACAAGAATCGCTGCGTAAAAACATAAACAACTCATATCAGAAATACGAGCTCAGTGAGTCAYTCAGTGAATTTTAATCAAACACACCAGCTCTAAAAGCCAGCTGACTTATTGTAATGTCCTAAAAAAAAGCAAAAATTTATGTTTTTTGTGTCCAATATGTGTTAATGTGTTAACCTGTGCAACAAAAAAGAACACCAGATTATACATGAACCTAAACYTCTGTTAATGAAATAATCACTTTCTGTTGAAAGTAATTTTAAATCCAAACACGATTCTTCGCATCACTCTGGTTTCTTGCGATGCACAGCTTTTTGTGTGAAATAAAAAAACGACCTCGTTTGGCAACTTTAACACATCCATCCTTTGCTTTCCTTTTGCCCACCGCAGTTTGGAGACTCTCAGCAGCTGCGTCTTGTGCGGATTTTACGCAGCACGGTGATGGTGCGGGTGGGCGGCGGTTGGATGGCTCTGGACGAGTTCCTGGTGAAGAACGATCCGTGTKGAGGTGAGTTTAAGAAAGGAAACCACAGAAACACAGCTGATGGATGGAAACTCCATGTTTTTGTTACATTAAAGCTCTCCTTCAGTTTATTTCCAACACTTTGGACACTTGAAAGAGTCTCACATGTTTTATAAATCTTAAGTTTTTAAATCGTATTTAGATGATTAACAGTTTTCATCAAGCTGTTGTTTAATATGATCTGTTCATTCAGTTTAAAAAAATCATCATTTGTTGTTGTTTTTACTCGTTTATGAAATATTTTGTAGTTTTTGATGGCATTTTTTGTATTTACTTCAATGATGACGTACTGTGTTCAGATTACACTTTGTTTCCAAAATAAGTGAGCACGATAGAAGATAAGACTTTTGTTAAAATACAGTGTTTCATTTATTACCTGGATAAAAGTTACTGATTATCATCTGGCTTTCAACTTAGGAGTAATAAAACCCTCTCTAAGTAACAAAAAGCGTTAGAAATTGATCTGTTTCTGCTTTCCTCTGTATTAATGATCAATCTGTATCTCCTYCTTTCAACCCTTCCTCCTGCTGAACATATCACTTCTTCTAGTTCATCACCACGGGAGCAAAATGTTGCGCTCGGAGTCAAACTCTTCYATTACTCAGTCTCCTATAGGTTGGCAAATCTCACACTTTCTCACCTTGCTCCATGAACCCACTYGCGGTATGTGTGTCTGCACATCCGAGTGTGTGCTGCTTGTGTTGGTCCTGCGGTGTACCACCTCTGTAGTGTAGCAACGTGTGAGCATCGTTGTGAGTGAATGGCCTTTTTCAGACTCCAGCTGAGCTCGTTCGGCTGTTTTCTCAGCTGTAGCCGGGTATTGTGCATGCAGTTGTTCATGTCGGTCACATCGCCTGCTGTCACTCCAGTGTGTTGGGACTTAACGCAACATAATCACAAGTTTTTGCTCTCAACATGTAAAATTTAAAAAAGGCTAAACCAGTGGTTTTCAAAGTTTTCAGCTTTTGACCCACAAAATACTAGTAGCAGAGACCGGAGCCCTCAGCTGTTGTTGGTTTATTGTTTTCACATCAAATAAACAAGAGCATAGTAACAATATTTATTATGCTATTTTTGTCCATTTTATGCACACTAACCTTAGTCTTTTGTAACAACAAAGACAAAAAATTGTTGTTAGTTGTAATACTTTAGTAATATTAATTCAGAAAATATTTTCAGGACCCCACTGTTATGTTTCGGGACCCACAGTGGGGTCCCAACCCCAATTTTGGGAACCACTGCTATAAACCGTTATAAACTATGGTAATTAGAATTTTCTGCCAAAATGCAATGTGAACGCTGAAAGACTTTGTTTAAATTGGTTAAAYAAGCTGAAACAAAATTAGKAAAACTGTAGCTAAAAGCCAGCTAGCATTAAAATAAACAAGACAGTAGCTAAAAGCTAAAAGGAACATAAGAAAAGAAAAATGCACAAAACTAAGTAGGTTAGAGAGATCAATGATTTTGAAGAAATTAAATCGATCTCAATTAGTTTCTGTGGAGAAACRTTTTGTAAATAAAGTTAAATAATAATAAAAAATAAAGTTACAAATTCGATAAGTCAAAACYCTTCTTGATTGAGCTAAAAGTTTTGGTTCATGAAAGGTTGAAGTGAGCAAAGTTTGTTGAAGTAGCTTGATAATGATGTGAAGCTATAAACAGGAAAACAATAGCATGAATGCTGACTAAGCACAAAATTTCAAGAGGCACTTATCTGAATTAATTATCTATGGATAAAAATGTAAAAACTTTATCTTTAAAGTGAAATATAGCATCATACACTGAACTAAAACTGTATTTCTTGAATTTTTATAATTTAACAGTTTAACGTTTTGCTGTAAACTGCATGATATTATTGTTTGAATGATACTTGATTTATTTTGTGCCATTTAGGTTTCATTCATTTTTGTYATTTATTCCATTTTGGCCCGTTTAGTTTCAAAAATGTTGGCACTGTTTATTMTTTATACAACTCACAATAAAAACAGAAACACAAAGATTATTCCACTACTGTTGACAGCTTTGACTTCTGTTGAACAGTATGGATGAGTTACAATACTGCATGAATCCCGTGTTTCTTAAAAATAGTATTTTTTTTTTATTTGATTTTTAAAGAGGACACCTTGTTATTGTCAAACTTTATTTTATAAGTCAGAAATTTCCAAATAATTTCTCAAATGGGGATTGGGAAGTTTTATAGAAATTATCAAGCTGTTTATTCAAAATAAAATTAAAATCAAATGACTGAAAATCAGAAAATAAATGGTACTCTGAAAAGTTTTTACGGTAATTATTTGCTGTCCCAAGCATCTTGATACAGTAAATAAAATAAATAAACAAATCAAATTTWGTCTGTAATTGCTACCAAATATTGCTCCTATGCCCAGAAAATGTGAAATTATGTGGAAATTTGAGACTTAAAGAGGAAAATAAAGTGTTTGTTTATTGTTGTCATACGCATCATTATCATCTTCATCATCGTCATCTTCTTCTTCAGCACCAGTTAAAGTTATATTCTCAGTTTTGTTTGTCCTCTGCGGCTCATTTGGACTTTTATTCCTCAGCTAAAGGCAGGACCAACATGGAGCTGCGAGAGAAGTTCATCCTCCCCGAGGGAACCACTCAGGTGATGGCGAGTTTCCGCTACAGAGGTCGAAGGTCTCGGCCGTCGTCTAGAGGTGCTTCGCCCAACAGATCCATGTCCAGTCAGAGCTGCCCGATTCCGACGAACCCAACAGCCATCGGAACACCCAAGGTGAGGGGGGTGTGTGCGTGCTGTGGAACCTGTTTGTGTTCGCTTTTTTCCCACACTTTCACTTTCATCTTTTTTGTTTTATCATTTTGTCAATTTCTGTATGTTTCCATTTAGTGTTTCATGTATTTTTTTCTTTAATTTGTGAATCCATGTTTTTTTCCTTTGATTTGCCATTGTTCCTCAGACTCCCCAACACATTACCCGCAATTATGATAAGCCATGGCTTACAAACAGCAAATCCTGCACTCCTCTTAAATCATCTGACTCTTTTGAGAGCCAAGGTTCATCCTCAGAGGTATAGTCATGTTCAGCCCATGATGCTGAAAGCTTCAGTCATGTGACCCAACTGAGATCTACATAATTATTATTGTTAGCAAAAACAAACCAAAAAAATAGACCTTTAAATTTTTCTTTTATCGAATTTGTTTCATAATTTTAAAAAAATATATTGCAATGATTGTAAAATATTGTGTGATGAAAAATGTCAGCTGGGTCTACAAACTTTAATTTTTGTTTAATCATGGGTTTCATTTTATTATACATTCTTAAACCCTTTCTTCTTTGCTTCTGAATGTGTTTATAACTATTTTTAAACTCCTACTAACTCCTACTTACAGGGACAGCACTATTCTTACAAAACATATATATATATATATATATATATAAATAAAACAGTAAAAGGTAAAATAATTTTCTGGAATGTATTACTAACTCCATAACACTTGTAGTGTGTATTGCAGCAACTCTGTACTGTATGCTTCTACTGATCTGGGGTCAGATTTATAAAGCTTGCGTATGCACAAAATGAGCCCAGAAACTTGCGTACGCCACTTTTCATGCCAAAGTTGTGATTTATAAAATCCAAACTTGATGTGAAAATGTGCGGTCCCTCAGCCAGCTCTGACCCATGCGTACGCTCATTTTGGAGACGGGAAACTGCGACACAGATGGTGAAGTGAGGKKWTAGAGCCACACTGTGTAATGATCACTGTCAGAGATTTAATTTCACTTTATAATCAAACTTAGATTTTTGTTCAACTTTAGCTTTCTTAACAGTATAATTTATGCTTCTGCTGCTGAGCCACAAGGATCTTTGAAATAAAAAACTTAAAMCTTAAATAAAAGTTCACACATCTCCATTCATCTCCTTCCTCCTCCTCATGATCCTGACCCACAGACCCCTCCCCGACAAGAGACATTTCAGCACGACAGCAAAAAGCTCGGTTATAGTCACGCTTTGGGTGCGCACGCCCTCGCCAGCGTGGATGTGTTATAAAAGATTCACTTTTTAATGTCCGTATTTCTCACGTGCGCAGGGTGGGGTGGGGGTGAGAGGTGAGGAGACGATCAGCTGCAGATAACAGCAGGCAGGAGGGGGAGGACAGGGGAGAAGAGCGGTGAACTCAACTTGATCTGACTTATTTAATTTTATTTATTGTTTTTATCGTCCTGCAGGCTCTGAGAGAAAATTAATTTGAAGCTGAGTTTTTGATAAAAATCATTAGATTACTCTAAATGTCTGTAAACCAGCAAAATGAGGGAAAATCTGTGTCAATTACAGACATTCTGGTCACGTGAGCAGCTGTCAGTCAGCACCTGTCATCCTCCAGGAGCATGACGGAGCGCGTCTTTTCTTGACACTGATCAGCTGACTGATTTAAATACACCTCATCATTCATAAGGTACTTTGTATTGACTGTTTATGGTTGAGTGTGGGCGTGTAGTGGGTAGAACCTGAAGCGGGACCTTGTGCGCAAACTCTGARGTGCGGCTGTGATCTATAAAGGAAAAGTGCGCAGAAACGTGCGTACGCACTGTTTTATAAATCTGAAAATTTTTTGGCTTACGCCATTTTTTGTCTTTTGGCTGTACGTTCACTTTTAGTATGGTTTCCCTGCAATCTTTTATAAATCTGACCCCTGGCCTTTCCTATGAGAGAATTACAAAGAAATGTATAATAAAATTTCTTTTTTTTTCTTTCTTTTATTTTCTTTTATTTTATTTTTGCTATTACAGAGTACAGCTGTCCAGGGAAGCAAGTTACGACTTCCTGGCTACTTATCTGGCAAAGGATTTCATTCGGGTGAAGAGGGAACTTTGATTAAYGCTGCTGTGCTGAAAGCTCGAACACAGACAATTGGTGGTGAGTGGAAGAAGCTGAGACTCATCCCCAACACATTCTGAATGCTAACAGATTTCACAAGATCTTTGTTTAAAATGTTGCCATGACATATAATATTTAGAATAAATTATGCTACCAATTATTTATCAATCCACCAATTAATCCTTTTATTCACTTGATTTAAAAAAAACTATATAATAAGAAAAAAAATCTTGTATAAACATTCCCCTTTCCTAATAATTACAAAATAAATTTTCATGGCTGTATGCAATAATTTAACTTACACTATAAGTTGCAAACAGTATCATTCTCCTCATTATTAATTCAGACATCTATATGAATTTATAGGTATTTTTTTAATATTTAAATTGATTTGTAGTTGAGCATTTTTTTCAACTCCTCATCCAAATTGTTCCACAGTTTTACTCCATGCACTGAAAAGCACATTTGTTTTAAAGTATTACACACAATTTTACTTTGGAAATCATGCTCCTTTCTATTATTTCTATCAGTTGATCTTAGAACAAGGAACATTTGTAAATTAATTGTCAATAATCTAATCTTAGCTTTAAATATAACTTAACCAAGTCTTAGTCTCGATACATTTGATTAAATAAACAATTAACACTTATTTTGCGAGATGTATTCCTTTTATGTTTGCTAGGCCTTTTATGGATTTTTTCTGTTTTCTGGCATCTAGAAATAAGAAAAAATTTCAGCCGACCAGGAAGTAAAGCCGGAAGCAGAGGGAGCAGTCGCAGAGGAAGCGACGCCTCGGACTTTGACATCTCAGACATCCAATCTGTGTGCTCGGACGCGTCGGAGACCGTCGGAGAGTCCGCTCGAGCYACGCCGCGCTCTGCGTCCCGCCAGCACGGAGGAAAACCCTCCAAGATCCCCACTCCTCAAAGAAAACCCACTTCCACGAGCAAACTGGCCAAGGGGTCCAAGCAATAGTCAGTGGCCTTGAAACCAAACAACCCAGGAACTAATRGCACCCTGAAAACATAACAGACACTGGAGACGTCTACCTTAAGAGACTGCAGATGCGATGTTATTTAAATTGTTGCAAAGATGTAAAATATTCTTTTAAGAGGCAATATGGTTTAATATGTGAGAATGGAATGTTGATGGCCTTGTGTGTTTGTTTTTAATGTATTTTATTATTATTTTTTTGTGAAATTGTTTTTTTTTATTATACTTAATTTTATTTATGCAAATCCCATAGAGGATTAAGGAACACTAAAAAAATCTGGGAATAATAATTAACATTTCTTCAAACTAATGAAGGGCAACAAAAGCTGGGCAGTGTTTTTGAAAAGTGACCGAATGTACTGTATTTTATCACCGGTGATGTTTGGAGTAGATGGTGGATCACTGTACGGCTTCAGGCACTGCAGATATTTATTTAAGTGCTATGTTATACTGCCACCTTGCATTTAAAGGGCAATGCAATATAGAACAATAATCCTTAGTAAGCACTCCGGAAAGGTTTGGAAACTCTTATTTATGAGACGTAGCAGAAACCTTGTAATGATGAAGTTTTCAAATCCTAATCGTTTGTTTGTCCGCCACTGCAGCCTGTCGTTTTCTTTCCTCCACTTTACAGTAATGTGCCGCCTTGTAGAGGCGCCACTCCACGTAGCCGCGCTCTGTGCTTTCATGTGTATGTATGGTTGTTTCGATCGAGCTGAAATTGTTACTGTAACTTTACTTTGTAATAAACCTGCTTGCAGAAAGCCACCTGAAGCTACTGCGCTGTACAGAATCTGATTTTTCTTATCTCTCTTCTTTAACGTGAATTGCGCTGTTCGGTGGTCTTTTTCTTTTTCAGTCCACCTTGGAGTGTTGATTTAGTCAGGGTGGAATGTTTGCAGAAGTGCTTGTATTTGGCTGTGAAATGCCTCATCTTTTTCACAGTTAGAAAGTGCAGATGATGAAATAATATCTTCATCAAGCAGACAGAAACAAAACATCTGTTTTAAAAGTAAACGTAGAAATTTTTTTATTGAAACTTATTTTATTTGCAAAGAGTTGAATTAAAATGATGAAATATTAAAACACCTTTTAAGATCCACTGATCAACTCCTAAATAACCTAAGTTTTTATCTTCTTTCAAAAATCATATTGCTATTTTTTTTTCTTTTGGTACTTTCAACTTGCATTATGTTTACCATCAGTCTGTTTGCTGATCTTCAATAAAGTGACTGTCAGCACTGGCAGCCTATGGGAAGAGATGGATCCCCTGGGACCACAGGTACAGTGGAGCTCAGGGGTCAAGGTCCTCTGAGATCCAGAGTTTTCAGTGTGAGTGGTCCTCCTGGTCAGCTCAAACACAGACCCCTGGATGGCACTTTAAACTGGGATATATCCTCACTGCAGCAACTGTAAATGTCCATCAGCAGGTAAGTGAGTAATTCTATATTTCTCTTTTATTTCCCTTTATACCAGTAAAACAAAATTTGTGGTGATGTGCGGCTAAGGTTTTATTGCAGAGCAGATGCAATTTGGTCAGTCATTTTATATTTAGGATCTAAAAATTGTCAATTTTATGTAAAGGTTTCACATCTAAAACAATTAAATGTCATTAATTTGAATATTTTTCTCTAAAAAATACATTTCATGTTTAATTCGATCTGTTCATTTCAATCTATCTATCTATCTATCTATCTATCTATCTATCTATCTATCTATCTATCTATCTATCTATCTATCTATCTATCTGAAAAATTTGTTTATTATTGACCATCTAATCATCATCAACTAATTTGAATATGTTTGAAGGTCTAATGTATTAAATTGCTCTTCTACAGGCACTGACACTCTCCAGGTTTAAATGATCAAACATGCCAGCCTTCAAACATGTGCTGGTGTTAGCTGTTTTCTTTGCCTGCTTGGGATTTGCTCAGAGTGAAAAGTTGCCGAGTAAGTTTAAAATTCAAAGTGTTTTTGGTGACAACAGTAAAAAATTTTTAAGATGAATGAAATTAATGGAAGTTATAAACTCCTACATCTTGTTAAATTGAGTACATAGAAATAAACACAATATGTCAGTACATAAACTATTTATTTTATGTGACAAATATCTTTCCAGACTATGAATAATGCACCTTCACATCCCCACCAGCAGATGTCAGTATTTGTCAGCCTGCGCTTCATCATCATTTAGTCAATGCAGTATCATATTCCCTGCTCTCAGTGTCATTGTGACTATTATGAGGTCATGCCTGGGTTACCCTGAGTACAAAAAGCTTTGATGTCCTGCAGCTGAGGTTCCCTGTCACCATTAATAAACCAGTTAACGTAAAGGGTGCTGCACAGTAGTGAAATCCACTTAACATTTTGGGGGGTGGGGGAG